ATGGGAAAGAAGGCCTATTGCATGAATCTTTGTGCAACGGGCCTCTAGTCCAGTGATGGCGAACCTATGACACGCGTGTCAGAGGTGACACATGACCTCATTTTTTGGTTGATTTTTCTTTGTTAAATGGCATTTAAATATATAAAATAGATATAAAAATATGTCTTTGTTTTACTATGATTGCAAATATCAAAAAGTTTCTATATGTAACACGGCACCAGAGTTAAGTTAGGGTTTTTCAAAATGCTGACACGCCAAGCTCAAAAGGTTCACCTTTACTATTATAGGTTGTATTTATTTCATCTTCCTCATTGAAAAGAGTATTTAGCATTTATGTTGGGCATGTCCACCTATCTTTGATTCAGATGACCATATTATTTTCAAGAATATTGGTGATCAGAATTCTGTGTTTATCTCAAAGTGTTGGTTGTTTCTTAGAGAGGTCAAAACCTACCATTTAATCAAACACATTCTATTTTATAGTTTCTGAGCATTTATAAAGTGTAACATTTAGAAAACAGTGTGTTTTTAAAATAATGGGTGACTTATAAATCACAAGATGGAATTATTTCATCTTGTGTTAGTCTGCCATGTTTTGTACCACAGCTGCATGTTCCATCTGCAGATGATTAATACATTTAATCTGAACTGCTTTACTTAGAAATTACTTTAAATTTAGACACTTACATGAGATGCTTTATTTAAAGATTACTGTGCAGGGCTGGTTTGGCTCAGTGGATAGAGGGTCAGCCTGTGGAGTAAAGGGTCCCAGGTTCAATTTCGGTCAAGGGCACATGCCCGGGCTGCAGGCTCAATCCCCGTAGGAGGTGTGCAGGATGCAGCCGATCAGTGATTCTCTCACATCATTGATGTGTCTATCTCTTTTTCCCTTCCATTTCCTCTTTGAAATCAATAAAAATAAAAAATAAAAATAAAAATGGTTGCTGTTATGGAAACTTTGGATACGTATTTGCTGTCCATCTACTCAGGTTTAATTATTTGTTTCTGTGGTGGGTTCTCCTCCCCATCAACTCTCAATTTTAACTTTTATTTGCAAATGTGTAATATGGCTTATTCATACATTTTCTATTTACTTATATTCTCACTAGTCAACTTTGATACAAGTTCTTTTTGGCTTGACTGGATAACTGATACTTTCATATATTTTATCGTGTCTATATTTATTTTATCAGTTTGGGTTTTTCTATAATTCTGTTTTTGAAAGAAATGCAGTCTGTTCAAAGTTGTTGAAAACATCAGCATCTGCATCTCTCATAACATATACATCAAATTAAATTCCTTCTGCCTCACTATGACGTAGTGAAGCCAGTGTCAGTGATTTCAACAATAGAGGCCTCCATTGTCATATCTATCTATATTCTTTGGATTCAGTTTGTTTTTTTCTGGTTCAGCTATTTTTATTTTCTAAAATAAAAAAATTTCCCTTAAGTACTACTTCAGATGTATCCTATAAATTTTATATGTAATTTCATTAATAATATGTAATTTTTGTTAATATTCAGTTTGAAGTATTTTCTAATTTCTATTATAATGCTCCTTTTTACCTATGAGTTAGACACATGATTTGCCAATGGTACCTCCTTTGTCATTTTTATATTTTTTTGTTTAATTTAGTACATTTTAAGCTTCTAGATGGTCAGTTATTTCTTTGTACCCTGACAAATAGTACAGTACTCTGAGCATAAGGAGTATCAGTAAATCCAATTTTTTATACAGTATGACATTTAAGCTACTTCAATTACTGACAGGCAACAAATATAATTAAAGCAGAAATCCTTCACCCAAAAAATAATTTTGGAGTTGGAAATTGAAGTAAAACATTAATTAATTGGATATCTTTTCTATTAAAATTGGTGTATAATACTGATGTGTATTGGTTGAAAACTAGTAATTGCTTCCAGATGTATAAACAACTGTAAATATACTGTTGTGGTTAATTAACGGCTTGGTGATTATTAGAGAAGCACTGGCTAAAAAAGACATCACTGTGTAAAGGATGGGTCTCTTTCTTGGCTCTTGCTTCCTTCAGTTCTCTTATCCCACTCATTACCCAAACCAGTAACCACCAACCAGATGTTCCTCAATCCCAAGACCACTGTTCAGTGTGAATCTTGAGCCAGAGTTGTCTCTTTGTAAGGCATCACAATTTACATATTATGTCAGCAATTACTTTTTATATATAATAGATACCTTTACATCTTTTTTAAAATGAGAATGATTATGACCAGTATTTTATTATTAGTTGCCTCCTTATTGACATAGGGTAAAAGAAAAAGCAATTTTAGAAAAAATGCCATGGAGCAGATATGGCGTGTTTTATGCTAATACCCTACCCTTTAAACATATTAAATATAACTATCGACATCCTATTTGGATTTGGCTGTGCCATTCTAAAGCTATCCTGAAAACTTAAACATATATGCATGTAAACACCTAGGTATCTGTGTCTATAAACAACTGTGGCACTACAAGAATAAATAAGGGTACTTAAAATAAAAAATGTATAAATCATCTAAAAATGTCAATTTTATTAAAATGAGACAGAATATAAACAAAAACATAAATTGAAAGATAAGAGGTTAAATGCAGAAGTAGCCCTACCTGGTTTGGCTCAGTGGATAGAGTCAGTCTGTGGACTGAAGGGTCCTGAGTTCAATTCTGGTTAAGGGCACATGCCTGGGTTGTGGGCTTGATCCCCAGTAGGGGGCATGCATGAGGTAGACAATCAATGATTCTCTGTCATCATTATTGTTTCTAGCTCTCTCTCACCCTCTCCTTCCCTCTCTGAAATCAATAAAAATATATTTTAAAAAATAAATGCAGAAGTAGCTTTGTTTCCATTCATACTTTCTGATTCTTTATTCAAAATCTTATAAAATCTAAACAACATAATCTTTCCCCTACAAGAAACCAGTATTTGTGTTGTATGCAAATAGAATACATCATTAAATTTACTTTTTAAAATCATGAAACATACTATCTGTGTTTATCATCTAATGAACTTTCCTTTAAATGAATTTAATGAAAATGCAATGATATTGATAGTCTGTAAGTTTTGAATAGCATGTTTTTCTGCAAATGAATGGGGTTTGCTTGTGTTATAGATATAATGTTGAGTATGGATCTTCATAATAATACATTTCATTTTGTGCATAAATATGTATGTGTGCTTTCATTTTAAAGATTTTTTATTTTATCTTGAAACTTAAATAGTTAGCTCTGGCTGGTGTGGCTCAGTTGGTTGGAGCATTGTATGATACACCAAAAGGTCACAGGTTCAATTCCCAGTTAGGGCACATACCTAGGTTGCAGATTTGATCTCAGGTCAGGGCATGTGTAGTAGGTGACCGATCAGTGTTTCACTTTCACATCAATGTTTCCTCTCTTTCTCTCTCTCTCTCTCTTTCTACCTTCCTTTCTCTCTAAAATCAATAAAAGTATATCCTCGATTGAGGATTTAATAAAAAAGGAACTTAAATAGTTAAAGTAGTCTTACATAAGACTATACTTATACATGTAGAATGTAAAACAATATAAACTTGATAAGTTTACATATAACTTTATTGACTATATAGCAGTCAAATATTAGGATTCAATGAATTGTTTACAATTCAACAAAAATGTTAGGCCACATCGACATGTGTTTGTCCTATCAGGAAAAATACATATTACATTATTATTTTCTTTATATTTCTTTAGTCAAACTTTTTAATTCTCATGGACTAGTAGAATTTAAATCAGATTTAATAAAATTCTTTTTTTTCTTTAGGAAAAAGTCAAAGAGAAGGAAGAAAATCTGAATCTTGTAAACCAATACTTAAAGTAGAATACAAGACCTCTAGAAACAGGTATGCACTTTTACTTTGGGGATTATTGGAAAATATGCAATAAACAGAGACAAGAAAGGTAGATAACTTTTAATGTTAATGTATTGCTTAAAGTTTTACATAATTATATTACCTGGTTGAATCCTTTACATTAACAATAACAGAAATCTTACTGTTTAATAAGCATATGTGTGATGATCATTATTATGAATACTAGTGATCTGGTGCATGGATTAATGCACATTGAAAGGAAATTAATTAGAAGGTGGCCAGTGAGGTGGGACTGGACGAGACAGGCCTCATCCAGGAGCCAACATCCCGTGGTCCCTTCCCAGTGGCCCCACCTGGGGTGGCGCTGTGGCTCAAAAGCGGTCTGCGGTGTGAGTGGGGTCCCTCAGTCAGGTGGGGTCCCTCAGCCTGTCCTGTGGGGAATCAAGCCAAAACAGGCTCTCCAACATCGCCCAAGGGATTCCTGAAGTGTGAGAGGGCACTCTTCCAAGTTGCTGTCATACAGGGTGTGGAATGCAAATGGAAGTGTGCAGTAAACCAGATTCGGGCCAACAGTGACCCAGCAACAACATAACGCATGACCGAAGGTGGAATTGAGTGGCCCATGAGGAATCAGGTTCCCTCCTCTCTGGTTTCAGGTGTGTCACCCAAGAACCATAGCTGCCAAGTCACTGCAGCTCAGCAGCTCCTGCATTGAGTGTCTGTTCCCTAGTGGTCAATGCACGTCATAGTGACCAGTCAGATGGAGGGAGGGACACTTAGCATATTAGCCTTTTATATATATCCTAGAGGCTCAGTGCACAAAAATTTGTGCACTCAGGGTGGGGGGTCCCTCAGCCTGGCCTGTGCCCTCTCTCAGTCTGGGACCCCTCGGAGGATGACCACCTGCTGGCTTAGGCCTGCTCCCTGGAAGATTGTGCCTAAGCTGTCAATCAGACATCCTTCTGGCAGCCCGGCAACCCTTGGGGGATGTCCACTTGCCAGCGGGGAGCAGACCTAAGCTGCAGTCGGACATCCTTAGCGCTGCTGAGGAGGCAGGAGAGGCTCCCACCACGACCGCTGTACTGGCAGCCATCAGCCTGGCTTATGGCTGAGCAGAGCTCCCCAATGTGGGAGCGCCCTGACCACCAGAGGGCAGCTCCTGCATTGAACCCAAAACCTGGATATATGCCCTGATCAGAATCAAGCCCAAGACCTTTCAGTGTATGGGATGATGCTCCAACCAACTGAGCCAAACTGGCCAGGGGAGCCTACCTGCTTTCACCAACATAATGCCTTTGAAATTTATCCAAGTTGTGTGCATTGATAATTTTTAGTTTTATTAATGTTTTCCTTATGTATAAAAACACTGTAAATTATATGGATTTTAATTTCCTATATAATAACCCAGGATGCATTTGTATTAGTAATAAAGAAGATATTTACTAGTATGGTACAGCATTTACCAAATTGTGTCCCTTTTAATCATTGATTGTATTCATGGAAGAAAGGAATCTATAATCAAATAAATTAGAGAAATCTGAGAAATTCTCTGGGTTATATAAAAGTAAATTGGATCCTTTATGATTTCTCAGATCTTTAACATATGTCATGAATTATAAAATCTCAAAGGGCAGATATGATTTGCAAGTGTCAAGTTATTAGGAACATTTTTATTTTTTGCCACACAACTATTAAGTTGTATTCTACAGTTTGAAAAACATTAGACTAGAAATGAAAAACATGGACTTTGGAGTCTGGATTTGAATCTTTGTCCATCCATGCACTAGCTGCTTTAAGCTAACAAGTTATTTAATCTGCATTAATCCCAGACTCCTCATCTACAAAATGGGGCTGATAATACTTTCCTCATCAGGACTGAGAATTATAAGGTTTTGAGGATTACATAAATTTTACTTTATATATACACGCAGCATAGTATATGCCAACATTTTACCAACTAGAGGCCCGGTACATGAAATTAGTGCATGGGTAGGGTCCCTAGAACTGGCCGGTGATCAGGGCCAATCTGTGAGGCCACTGTCAGGGGTCCCTACTGGCACCTGCCTTGGCCAGCGTGGTGCCACCCGCTTGCTGGCCCCACTCCCCCACTCCCCTGCTGGTCGCCTCCCTCTGTAGGGTGACTAGTGGGGCGATCAGGGGGGCCCCGCTGGCACCTGCTTTGCCTGGTCTGGGGCCTGCAGGCTGGGGGAAGCTCCTGCATTGAGTGTCTGCCCCCTGGTGGTCAATGCATGTCATAGCAACTGGTTGTTCTGCCGTTTGGTCGATTTGCATATTAGGCTTTTATTATATAGGACTAGAGGCCCGGTGCATGAAATTCGTGCACAGGGGGTGTCCCCTTAGCCCAGCCTGCACCCTCTCTAATCCGGGACCCCTCGAGGGATGTCCAACTGCTGGTTCAGGCCCGGTAGACATCCCTCTCACAATCCTGGACTGTTGGCTACTAATCGCTCACCTGCCTGCCTGCCTGCCTGTTTGCCCTTAATTCCCCGCACCCCCACCCCTGGCCTGATTGCCCCTCGCTGCCTCTGCATACTGGCCTGATCACCCCTAACTGCCCCCCCCTGCCGGCCTGGTCGCCCCTAACCCCGCTGCCAGCCAGGTTGCCCCCAACTGCCCTCTCCCTGCTGGCCTGTTCACCCCATGCAGCCTGCTTTTTCAGTCGTTTGGTCGTCCCTCACTACTGCCCCTGCAGGCCTGGTCATAGGCAGCCATGTTGTGGGGGTGTGATGGTCAATTTGCATATCACCTCTTTATTATATAGGATGTGCATGGTAATCATTCAGTAAATTGTAGCTATTTTTATTACTACAGGCACTACAGACCACTGTTTAGAAGAACAGGTTTAGAAGTCTGACAGACCTCAGTTTTCTTTTGGGTTTTTCTGCTTAGTTATTTAACTTCATTAATAAAATGAGGGTAATACTTATGAGGATTTACTGCAATAATTAAATTTCTAATGCAATTATCTATGAGTGGTTCCCTGAGCATTTTCCTGAGTAAATAACTTTTTATTCAATCATTCAGTAGTTTATAAAGAAGTACATGTATAATTAAGTTTATACCCAGTATTTTCTGATGCAGAGTCATAATGATAGCAAAAATGATTTGCTCTCTTTCAATATTAAAAAGGACAGGGGAGGTGGTTGAGGTTGAGGAGGGTATAGGGAGCAAAAATGGTGCTGGAAAAACAAATACAAAAAAAATTTTTTTAAGAGAAAGGACATATTTTGCATTGTGCTTACAAAAAAGAGGGAGAGTAAATTGTTTTGATCTATGTTTAGATTAGTACTAGGAGATGAGAGTAAATTCACTTTTACATGGAAATAAGTAGATAGTTATGACCTTTATTAATATTTGGAACAGATTGAGGTCAATATGTATGAAAAGGTACTATGTTCTCCAACTCATGATCCCTGATGTGAAATAAAGCAACCAACCAATAAAGATACAGAAACCCATAGTCATTTCATTAGAAATGATTTTTAAATCTGGAAAAATCTTCTTAATAATATATGTGTAATTTATAGAAAGAATAAAAATGTTTCTTAATAGCACTATTATTAGGTGAGTAATTTACTATGTCAAATTACTGGGGAAAGACTAACTCAAGTAAATTGATGCAGGATTCAAGGAAAATAAATTAGAGCATTATGGTTTGTATAGCTTACAACTCAAATAATTTTGTCAAAATATTGACAGAATTATAAATAATTAGTACAGGTATTTTATATATAGGTTTTGATGGCAACTTTTTAAAGGTTTTTTGTTGTTGTTGTTGTATATAGCCAGCATAAAATTAGCAAATGTCCTATTGGTAATGTTTGATACTATGTATAGTACAAAACAGAAGAGAAAGGGAAGTTTTATTAAGTGATTTCTAGAAATAAGTAGATCTTTCAGTTTATTGGATGGATGGAAGTGAATTATTTAGAGAAGCATGTATTCTCAAAGAATTTGGTACACTAAAAGTATTTAGCTCTTTTAAAAAAAATTAACAAGAGTATTTTCTGTTTGTTACTTACTTATTGAAAATACTTTATATCATCACTTACTTTTTTTTATATACATACTAGTGGCCCAGTGCATGAAATTCGTGCATGGGGGAGGGGGTGTTCCTCAGCCCAGCCTGCACCCTCTCCAATCTGAGACCCCTCGAAGGATGTCCTACTGCCAGTTTACAGGGATTAGGCCTAAACCAGCAGTTGGACATCTCTCTCACAATCCGGGACTGCTGGCTCCCAACCTCTCACCTGCCTGCCTGCCTGCCTGATTACTTCTAACCACTCTGCCTGCCAGC